ATCTGAAGAAGTGAGGTTTTTACCCACGAAAGCTTATGCCCAAATAAATCTGTTAGTCTTTAAGGTGCCACCAGACTCCTTGTTGTTTTTGAAGCAAACAGTTGTCTTAATTTTTCCAAAATCTTTAAACATAATGAACTGAAAAAGCAGATTTATGTGGGTGACTTGCTGTACTAAGTTTGCATTTACTGCTGTAGCTGCATTGGGTCTTAAGATGCTCTAAGTGATCTGGAGGGAGAAGTAGCTGTTCCTCATTTTAGCTTGTGGAGAACACAAACACACAAGGTTGAATCCTGGCTCAAACTCCCATGTGTCACTCTAGAAGTGCAAAGTGAAAGAACTGCTTTAACTGTCTGTAAAATAGGCAGAGTTCATATGACTAAATCTTGACTTTCCCTTGACAGGTGAAGGAGTTGTCAATGTCAGCACGAAGCAGAAGTTGCCCTGTGAAGTAGCAGAAAGCTCTCCTGTTGATATTGGGAACATTTGCTAAAGTGACAGCAAAATATGCCGAGTCTAGGCTGTTGTATCCACATTGCTCTGCAATGACTTCATGGTCAAGCTTCCCTCTTTCTGTGTGGAGTAAGAAATACTGCATGTCCTGCCTACTTAAGAGCTGCCTAGGGGCTTTAGTAATTTATTGTCTCAAAGCTCACGAGCCATTTCATTGGAAGGGATTGACCATCTATGGATCTTGACGTCTTTTTATGCAGTAACATACTATGTCAAGTTGGTTTTTTTTTTTTTTTTTTTAATGGAGATATCCCATCTCCTAGAACTGGAAGGGACCTTGAAAGGTCATCGAGTCCAGCCCCCTGCCTTCACTAGCAGGACCAAGTACTGATTTTGCCCCAGATCCCCAAGTGGCCCCCTCAAGGATTGAACTCACAACCCTGGGTTTAGCAGGCCAATGCTCAAACCACTGAGCTATCCCTCCCCCCATTATGTTCTTGTGTCCATAATGGCTGTATTCACCCCCTGCAAGCTGGGTTCAACCCACTGCTGTAATGTGGAAGATTATGATGTACTAAAAATCATTAAAAGTACTGAGGTAACTTCTTAAATGGATTGAAGTGTGTGCTTCTGTATATGAATGGGAAGGTGGTGTGGTTAAGCAGAGCCTGGGTCTCTAGACATCAGGATTCAAATCTGAGCTGTGCTAAGCAGATTTCCTGTTGGATCTTAGCCAAGTCATTTGATCTCCCGGCCTCAGCACCCCATGTGTAAAATGGGGATTGTTTCCCTATGTTGTGAAGAAAAATCCATTTGTGTTTGAGGTGCTCAAATACCACAGTCATGGAGATGACAAATACCTCGATAGCCTGTTCTAGACATGGGTGAATGCAGACCCCAGGCATAAGGTGATGCCAGTATCTTGAGAAGCTTTTAAATGGTTAAATTGGGGAAAATACCCAACTATCAGCTTGTTTTCAGACAAATAAAACTACCCCTCAATCATCCTCCTTTGAGACACCTTTCTTAAAACCTACTTTGCATGAGATTCTGACACAGCTGGGTGCTCTAAAAGCTGTTTAGGTTTTGTTGGGCTATTTACTTTACAGATCTGTATGGTCATCAAATACATGCACCTGTGAAGGTAGGTGTTGCTTACTGACAACTTAGGAGAGCCAAAGCCTCAGTTGGAGTAAGAAACTAAAGGAAACAAGGTTCTGGGGCCTAGTCACTATGTACTGCCTTAGAGCTGGTAATTCATCCTGCACCGGTATCAGGGACTGGTGTAGCAGTATTAGTCTGTATCCACAAAAACAAGTCGTCCAAGGGCACCTTAAAGGGCTGGTCTACACTACACTGCGGGGGGGAGAGGGGGGGATCGATCTAAGATATGCAACTTCAGCTACGTGAATACGTCAACTTTAGCTACGCTATCTTAGATCGACTTACCTCACGGCGCGGGATCGATGGCTGCGGCTCCCCCCTTGACTTCGCTTCTGCCTCTCGCTCTGGTAGAGTTCTGGAGTCGACGGGGAGCACATTCGGGGATTGATTGCTACCCGCTGATCCGGCGGGTAGTGAAGATGTACCCAAAGATTAACAGATGCCTCTGAAGAAGTGAGGTGTTTTTACCCACGAAAGCTTATGCCCAAATACATCTTAGTCTTTAAGGTGCCACAGGACTCCTTGTTTTTATCCTGCACCAGGTGGTTTGCATGCTTTGGGGCTGCTGTGGTAGCCAGACTTGCGGTGAAGCCTTGTGTTCTTAGTGTCTTGGCTCCCTCATCTCCCTGCTTCTGACACATGGTATTGGTTAAGGGTATGTCTACACTATGGCAACAATGTTGGCATAATTATGCTGGCAAAGGGTTTTTGTTGCTGTAGCAACACCTCTCTGAATGTGGGTAGCTATGTTGACAGCACTCTTGCATAGCTATAACATCTGATGTAGTTTTTTCACTCTCCTGACCAATGCAGCTATGCTGATAGAACTTCCATGTGTAGACTAAGCCTCAGAGCAGATAGGGCTTAGTAAGGGTGGGCATACTGCAGAGCACCTGTTGCCAGCTTTTCCTCTCCACACTTCTCTGTCTCCCCATTCAACTCTTGGAGTGTCTCAGAAGAGAACAGTGCTCTTCGGGTGGCAGTCTACCTTTTCTAGCTGGATCTGTTTGTATCTCTACCCCTTGAGTTGGAGTGGAGAAGCTAGCCTGAAGGCATTCTAAGCAGTTGCTGCACTCTTCCCTCCTTTCTTTTGACTTGCACAGAAATAAAACCTAGGCCCCTTCAAGGCGAATAGCTGCTGCTATAAATTACAAAACACAATAAGCCTACAGAACTCTGCCTAAATCTCATTTCCCCTTAAGTTCTGTTCTGTAGATGCAGCCAGGTGACTTCAGAACTGAGAAAATCCAAGGCCCTTCAGAGAAAGGTCTAGGGTCAGCCCCCCTCATAAATCCAGGGGAATCTAGCTCTGTTGCCTCTGCTGATCCTAACTGTCAGTCTGACAGGAGGAAGATGACCTATTTAGTGATTGCATTTGCTAGTTCTGGCTTGTAGAACCATTTCTTTAGTGAAATGCAGGCACTTAAATACTGCAGCTTTCTAACCCCATCTTGCTGACACTTGTCTCAGACCTCCCAGGCTACCTTTAATGCAGATGCATATAGTGCATACTAACAGGAAATCACTAAAGCAGGAAAAAGCCAGTCAGGGTGGCAGTTAGAGCCATGGGATAGCTGGCAGCTCTCCTGTACATCTAATTTACATATTCTGATTCCATTGATTATATTAAGCAGTAGTAAAAATCTGTTTCCCCTCAACTGCTGTCAGTCTGTGCTAGTGTGCAGTGAATTTACCACAAGATACAAAAATCCTAACTACTTTGCCCTGTGTAATGAAGCTGAGTCTCAGGTGAGGCTACTGTGTTGTTGGTTTAGGAAGGTGACAGCCATTCTCCATCTGGCATGATTGCTATGTGGCACACAATATTCCTGGCTGAGTGATGTTTCGCTGCAAGCCGGAAGCAGCGGGGTCAGAGTAGCTGGGGTCAGCCCTGGCAGATGTTTGGCATTGGTTGAACTGATGACTCCACCAGGGTCTGGCTATGTGTGGATAAATAAGCTGGTAGCACTTCTGCATTCCTGCTGCAATGCACATGCACGCTTCAGAGAGGATACTAAGAGCTGGAATATGTTTGTTAACGAGCAGCATCTAGAGTGTTCGGACTCCATTCAAACTGCAGGCTTGATGAAAATAGCTGCTACTAATGTGCTCATGTAGGGGAGTAATGCAGCAGGTGTGTACATTAGAGGTGGGTGTTTCTAAAAACAGTTCTTATGCCATATTCATTAGAACTCAAGGAACAGGCTGAGTTTTCCACAGCTGTAAGATAACATGTCTGCAATGTCCTGGTCAGTGCAAACCTGTAACTAGTTAATAGTTCATACATGCTTAATACAATGAAGTGAGCTGCATTTGCCTGGGGGCAAATAGTACTTCTGGGGGAATTCTGTGCTAAAAAAAAATAAAAATTCTGCTCATTGTATGTCAAAATAACACTAAATAATCACATCAGTGTGAATTATTTTGGTAATTTATTTCAAAATACCTGTCAGCAAGTATGTAGGTAACAATACAGATCCACAAAAAATCCCCCCTGGAGTAGAGAGTTAAAGAAACCCCCTCAGCAGCCCAGTTCCTGTTTCTCTACACCAGGCCTGCACAACTCGTAAAGCGGCGAGGGCCATATTACTCCAAAGAAAACAGCTGAGGGCCGTAACCACCTGTGTGCCGCCAAACCCCCCCCCCCCAGCACCGCCCGCCCCACGGAAACAAACCCTCCTTCCCCAGCGCCGCCCCACCGAAACAGCAGTATTGAACCTCGGTAATATGTTATAGCGGGCCCCTAAGGTAGTATAATTAAGGTAAAAGAAAAATGTCTTTTTGCTAGAAGTAGAATAAGATCTTCCCCCCACTTTGTAATTAATTGCCCTGTTGAATGAATGAGGTGTGAATGAGGAAGATGTGGAAGGCAGGCACCTCCAGACAGCTGCAACCCTTGGAGAGGGCAGGGCCAGCTCTAGGATTTTTGCCGCCCCAAGCAAAAAAATTTTTGGCCGCCTCCCCTTTCTTTTTCGTGCCCCTCTGCCCCCGCCCTCACCCCAAC